GCTCAACCAGAGAGATTAACTCTAAATATTTTCAATGTCACCCAAATACCCACAAAAACCCCAAATTCTCAAACTCCAAAAATTCCCAAACCTAAAATTATTTAAAATAAAAATAAACCCATCAAATGCTTAAAGTAAAATCCATCCACTCTCCGCAAGTGTTTGTCGAGATGGACAAATTAAAATTTACTTTAGCTCACATACAGCTAATGTCTAATCAATAATATCACTAGGATTTATTCTCAAACAATCTCCTGTTAGTAAGGATGTGGTACATGTCCTTTACTTGACAATTGGCCTCCAAATGGCATTGCAGGTAAACGATTATAACCTGGGACCCTCTAAACTGAGTATTTTTGGCACCAAATAGCACCATGAGATAACGATTATGGCCAGAGCCAATATGTTTCTTAGTGACATCAAATTCTTAAGATATGAATCAATATAATATAATTGATATGGCACAAAGCCTTCTGTTAACTAAGGTGAATTTAAATTTATCCTAATATACAAACATTCACCCCATGCCTACAAGATCCCTTTGGATGAAGCAACCCATAACTGCTGACAAGGATCATTCTATCAAGTTAGGTCGACTACCTCCTTTGACTAAGTAGACCAGGGACCACGATGGCCGGGGGCGACAGAACCATGAGATCTTGATCGAGTTCATTATTCATTCCCCAACCATCCGCTTTAAGTGAAAGATGGTCAAAATATCTATTTAAATATCAAATCTTTAAATTTTTAATATCCAAACCCATGGTGTTATTATGTGCCAGATAACACGTATTTCAATGTATCTGATTGATGACTGGCCTTAATCCAAAGTTCTCTCTCATTATCGAGAGGAGTAATTAATTATAGAGGCTTATGCTTATAGAAAACCAAAACTCATATAATAAAGTCCTTGCAAAATGAGGGTGAAATCTCTATGTAGTGTCTTATCTACAAACCCAATATGTCTTCCCAAAATTTACCCTGGAACTTAATTCCATTAAAACTCCCCCGAAAAGCAGCGGGGGAGGCCAGGGCCGAATTTTTTGAGCCCACAAAAAAGTAGGGTTGCATTAGGTTGTTGACAATGAGCATACAATTTATCAAACAATCTTGACATCATTTAATGCATTTGTTAATGTTAAACTGTTACTGGAAGCGACGCACTGTATGATTTTAATACAACAAAAATGTGTAAGTGTCATTACACCGATGCCCAGATGAAATGTTAAATAATCAAGGGTTTTCACATCATGGATGAATGTGAGCAAAGAAACTTTCCCATGAAATTAAATTAGGATAAAAAGAATAAAATATAGATTGTCTTATATGCAAATTAATATAATTAATAGATATTATAATTCATAGGAAAATAAATATTTTACGTATTCAAGAAATTACAATGATTGAAAAAAAAATTAAGGAGTTTGATAATTTATGAATTAAACTATGATATTCATATATGAGTCATATAAGAAATGGAGTGAGTATGATTATAAATAAGAATTTGAACAATGGTGGTACAATAATCAATATAATTGGAGATAGAAATATAACTTTAAATATTATTATTGATGCTAAAATTATTATTATTATAAGTGTTTATGTTGCTTCAATATATTTGAATATGTATTCAAAATTATTTTTTTTTCAAATGACTTAGAAAAATCAATACAAAGGATATTTCTTGAAGAAAAAAATTATTGAAAGATGTTTAAATAGTCATAATGATCGAGTGATGAAAGATTTTAAAAATACTCATGGTGAATGAGTTTTGAGAGACTAATGAAGGTAATAGGATCATATTAAGTTTAGTTGTGACTTATAATTTTGTAATTACTAATTCATTATTTAAAAAAAGGGAATAACATCTCATCGCTTATAAAAATGAACATAATAAAATTTAGATTAATTTTCTTATAAGAAAAATAAATCATTTAAATTACAAATATTATAAAATCATTTGGAACAAAAGTTTATAAACCCAGCATCACTTATTAGGTTTGGATTTAAAGATGAAAATATAGAACATAAAAAATAAAGTAAAATAATGTCATAAGATTATATGAGAACATTTAATGAACGTTAATAAAAATATTTGAGAGTAATATTTAAAATTTTAATATTTGTATTGTTTATGAAAAAAATAATATTATATGAGAAAAAACTAGTACAATTAAAAATGTTGCAAAGTATGTGCATAGAAAATCAAAAGAAAAAATATTTAATAGTAAAAATCATTAGTAAAAGAATCAAAATTTGTAAGAAAAGATAAAAAACAAAATGCTTTATTATAAAAACTTATTTAGACGTAAAAGTCAAAAAATTAAAAAAGATATAAAGAGGGCTATAGAGAATTTGAGAAATCAATATATGATGCAAATAATTTAATTTTTAGTAATTTATATTATAGATTTGATACTCATGATGGTGATATATGTATAAATTAATCAAACAAAGAGATGGAAGATGTAATGATCTAGTTCAATTGAAGTGTATTAAGAATACAAATCAAAAAGTGATTCTTAAAAGAGGACATTCAATCTAGTTGGATGACACATTTTGATAAATTTCTTAAAAAAAATGATAAGAATACAATTAACTTTAATAACTTTAACACCATAAATAATTTTTTTATTTATTTTTATCGCCATATTAATAAAATCAAAGTTGGAAAACCTTTAAAGAAAATTAAATGTAAAAAAGCAATAGGACTTGATGATATTCCAAGAGAGGTGTGAAATACTTAAGAGATCAAAAAATTTATTGACTTATTAAACTTTTTATTATTATTTTGAATATTAAAAAGATGCTAGATGAGTAGGGGGTGTGGTTGTTTCTATTTTTAAAAATAAAAGTGATACACATGAGTATATGAATTATAAATGAATTAAATTAATGTATCATGTATTAAAATTAGGTTATGACATGATACTAATATTTACCAAAATTAATTTGGGTTCATGTTAGGTAAAACATTTGTTGAGAGGTTTGATGGTAAAGTATAGAGAGAGTAAGGAGGATTTATATATGATATTTATTGATTTAGAGAAAACATATGATAAAGTCTTAAAAGAAGTGCTCTGGAGAGTTCTACAAAAGAAATAAGTTAATAATGTTTATATTCAAGTCATTAAGAATATATATGCATGAGATGTTATTTTTGTTCAAACAAAAGGTTCTTTGACCAAGTATTTCAATTAGATTACATTAAGGATTAGCTTTAAGCCCATATCTTTTTTGCTTTATTCATGAATGTTCTTACTAGAATTTGTAAGAGGATGCACCCTGGTTTATGTTTTTTGCTGATGATATTCTTCTAATTGATAAGAGTAGAGAGAGAGTTGAATAAAATTTTAAATTATGGAGGTTAAGTCTAAAGATTTTCATTTGAGTGGATCTAAAACTAAATACATGAAGAGGAATTGTAATAGTAATAGACCTAGTGATGAGATTATGACATTAGTTGATCAGGACATTAAAATGAATGCACATTTTAGACATATTAGGTCTATTATTAAGGTGATGGTAAAATAGATGGAGATATTATTAGTATAATTCAAGTAAGATTGATAAAGTGGAGAAATGCATCGATTATGTTGTTTGATAGAAAAATACCCCTCAAACTTAAAAGAAAAATTTTATAAAATGATTGTGAGACCTACAATGCGTTATGGTGTAGAATGATAATAATAATAAAAAGAGAAGCATAAATTAAGTATTGCAGAGATGATGATGCTTAGGTAGATCAATAATTTTACATGAAAAGGTTGGAGCCTCTCCAATGATAGAAAATATTAAAAAGAATCACCTTAGATGACTTGGTCACATAAAACATCGACTGTTTGATGATCAGATTAGGACAGTAGATGTATTAGATCTAACATATATTAAGAAATGTAGAGATAACCTTAAAAAGATTTGATTAGAAAGTATTAGAATAATCTTCTTTATTAGATTTAAATGAGAATTTAACTCTTCTTATGATACAATGAAGAAAAAATATTCATGTACTTGACCTCAGTACCTCACCTAGTGAGATAAAAACGCGATGTTGCGGCTGTTGTTGCACACTATGAGTGATGTGAGTTCATTATGATATATCTGGTTACTTTGAGTCTCTTATGAGTTCAATTTGAATACGGCTAGTTCAATATAGTTTATTCTTATTAACAGACCAACTTCCTTAGTAAATGGAATCAGGTGAGCTTGACTCGAACTGGAACTTCAAGATATTTGGATATACACCCTGCACCTTAGAAGTTGATAGCAACTTAACGACTAGGAATAGCTCAGTTAAGTTGGCATCGTCGACCAACATCATTACAAATTAAACTATGATGCATAGGTCCCCGTTTCTATTACCACCTTCAATTAGGCATCATTTGATGTCTTTCTACGGTCAACACTCAATATTTTCCAACCCACAATCATATCTCAACAAAATCACCAAATGCTAGAAATTGAAAGAACCGAAATCCCTGCGCTATTTTTCTACAAGAGGAAAAATGTTTTGAACGTTACATATATCATGAGGAAAGCTTGAAAGAGAGAAAAGAGAGAGAATAATGATATTGTTCGAGAAGAAGCCCTTAACGTCCTCTTCCTCCAATTACTGAGCAAAAAGAATAAATGATCATTAGTTTCCCCTGCTCACAGTTCATTCTAAAGTGGCTAGGGTTCCCAAGGTGGCGGACAAAAATCCTCATATACAATACTGCATAACTTACAAGGATTCTTAGGATTCTGATGTGTATCGAAAATCAATGGTCTAGTGTGTTCTTCGAGGGTATCTCTTATAATAAGAATTAACGTTGTTCACTTTGTTGATTCTAGAAAGCAAAATACTAGGTGTGCTCACCGTCCGACATTTAACAGCCATCAAATAATCAGTTAGAAGCAAGAGATGGATATCAATGATATAAAACAACGGAAAGAGATGAATCATTCACATCCTATCTCCACAAGTACGGTGGCGGTGACAAGGTCCACAAGGTCCGTGGTTTAACTTAGAAGATAAGTTATAAAATAACCCAAAATGATAGTCATTCAAGTAAACAAACATTTAATTACAGTAAAATAAACGCTTTCGAAGTTCAAGGACGATAAGCTCAAGATAGCTATCCTCGCAGCACATGAACGATCAAATATGAACTTACAAATTAGGACCCTATTATCTTAAGCTCTTCTTTTGGGAACATCAACGGAGGTACAGAGATGACATAAATTAAAATTGATCATGAAAATCACTATCAAAATGTAAGGTAATCTTCAGTTTCTAGCTGAAATTTTCTGGAGGTGAAACAATTCCATCATATAAAACAGCCTGCTGGACAACCGGACTACCGGCTGAGATCTGCATTTAGTAGCTCTTCGACAGAACTTCTGTACTTAGCAATCAACTCCCTGCAGAAGGTAACAATATCCTTAAAAGATGCCATCAACATCAATTCTGTACCAACAACAGAGACATCTAATCCTGTGACCTGTTTGGTACAGATACATACTTTCTTTGATTGAGGAGCAGCTTAGTCTCTTCTTGCTTACGTTTTTGTCCTTCAACTGTCTGGCCACAAGAAAGTTCTCCAGCGTGTTAGTGAAGTTTCTTTATTTTTTTTTTTGTTTGGCCAGTCTAAAGAGTGAAACAAAACCTTTTGTAATTACCATAGCTTTTGTGGTAATAGATCCTAAGATGGAGTTCAGCAGCTGTTGACACTTGTCAAAATGGTTTGCCAATTCATTCATCTTGTGAAAACAATTAAATGCAACCACATAAGGAGCAGGCTTGGAAAAATCATAATAAAAAAGTAAGAATGGAAATAGAAAGTTTTCAACTCATAAAGGCACAAAGGATAAATAAATAGTCATGCAAACCAAATAGACAAACAACAAAGAAAAAGAAAAAAAACCAAGCAAGAGTTTAATAATTTATCTAGCAAAAGGTTGCTGGAATGCATAAGTAAAAAGGTTTCCACAAGTTTTACTACTTGGATTAGCATTATAATAACATTTTCCCTGCGCACATGTGCTACAAATACATATGTGAGCGAGAGAAAGAGAGAGAGAGAGTACCAATGCCTCAGACTGCTGATCTCTTGTTCCACTTCCAACTGCTTCAGCTAAGCTTTCGGCCAACTGAAAGCAAATGCATGTAACCTCATCAGGAAATCTTGAGTAAAAATATAAAGATGAAAACTAAGCAGTCAACTGTCTGTTCAAAAGATAATATAAAAAGATGTATCATAACTAGAAGGCTAAAACAATTAACGCGTAAAGCATTGACGAGCATAAATCTAAAAAAGTATAAACCAAACATGTAACTCCATTATTTAGTAAATTTACGAGCTTTCAATTTCATGCCATATACAGACCTTTAATATATTTCATAAATACCACTACAATAAATTCATAAAATGCAATTCATTTTTAAAATGTGCTGACCATGAAATGGTAGAAACATTACACAAAATCTCATGCCAAACAGTGAAGAGATTTAAACCATCATTAAAGCATAATATTAAAAATGCTAAAGCAATTCTATATCGATCTTATCATATGGATATCTGAGTATCTTACATATTTGAACGAAGTATTTAGGCAACACTAATGACCAAAGTTCAAGCTATTAGACTCAGTAGCCCACTGCAACATCAGTTAAGAAATTGGAAGGTTGACTGTGACAATGATCCAAAATTTTACTACCATTCACAGAAGCTAAATTACGTGACAAAAAGGCAATTATAAGCACCTGTATTAATTTGTAAAGTTGAAAGATGGCCAAATCCAAGAGTATGAAGCCTGAAGCACTAGACCTACCTATTTCCTTTCATCTACTACATGGTAAGTAGTAGAGTATGAATCCCTCAACCAAAAATTTATATTGAACGAAAGTTAACAAAAAAAATTGGAAATACACCAAAGTGAACAATTTAACCACAATATAATTATGTTCAGTAACAGTTGTGGACCTCCGAAAGAGCACCGCGCGAACGGGACAATTGCAAGGGACAAATTTGATCGTGCATACGACTAACCATTGAAGATAGAGGCTTTCACCAACACACCCCGATGGGTAGTAATATACACGACCTAGTCACGGGTTTCCCCCATCCGATACAACAGTTCGAATGGGGTTTAGTAGATGTGGTAACAAGTTTCCCACGGGCGCAAGCCCCCGTGGTTAATTACATCTCAGGCCGGAGCCCGAGAAAACTCTCGATTAAGGATCATACATTATCCCCTCCTAAAGTGGGATTGACATAGGGGTATAGACTAAGAAGTCCTATCCAAAAGGAAGAAAGGTCTGAAAGGGCTGAATCAACATGCGTGGCTCAAACCAATACTCGAAGGCTCTAGGGTACTAGAGAGAAGCTGGAGAAAATAAAGGATCAAGCAATCAATCACATGCGTGAGAGAATGATAGAGGTGGCATCATCCTGTGACGTGGATAAGTAGGATCTATAGTCCCTGAAAGGAATGGACCTACCTACTATTTAAGGTATACTACGAGACCGAATGTAGTAGCCTCGAATCCTAAATCTAGGTTGGGCTTAGTGTTCTACGAAACACTAAGACCCGTGTCCTAGCTAATGCAGTGCAAAACCTGGACTTATCCCGGCCTGGATTGGGGGAGCCAGCTAACTACCTAATCATTTTAAAACCATGATATCAAATCAATTATGAAAGATGGGTGGGAGATACAGTTCTTTGAAAATAGGACCGACATCTAGAGAATTTCCTAAGTGGTCCTGGGCTTATGTGGGTCAGATGCTTCTAGTTAATGCAATTAAATTTTATTTAGTTGTTTACTAATACAATGCATGCTAGTTGAAATGTCAGCTCACGAATGCTATAGAATTTTAAAAAAAATAGGCTTATAGAAAATAATTTTTTGAAAAGACTGGGTCTCCCTAGGTCCGGCACTTCATCCTCATAGGCCAGATTATCCGGACTCTACCCGCAGGCAGGGAGATGTCTTATAACAAGGAAAGAAGAATGCAGTAATATGCATGCGACCCCGGATAAA